CAATGTATGGCCATAAGAATCGCTAGCAATATGTAAGAGGTAATAAATACGCAAAGTAAAGCGATGTAAAGCATATATTTCATACAACATATATGCATCCAGGTGCGATGGCGATTGATCGAAAGATCTGGTCTCAGAAAATTTGTAGTTTTGTTTTCGAAACGTAGTCGTAAACGATATATCAGAAGCGTACTGAAAATTTTAGATCGTGCCGTATCGACTTGAGATATAACAATTTGAAAAACATAACCGAGTTTACGATTGTCGATAGCAAAGATGAATTTAGTTCAGCAGCAAGGAAAGAATTGCATTTATAAGATGTAGTGGTTCCATATAATACTTCCTTTCAAATATTTTGTTATTTTCGTTTATAATGAAGAGCCAACCGCTCAGTTTTGCTAATACAATTTATTGCTGATCTACATGAATTTTTATATATACATTCAGAGACGCATAAATAAACGCAGATCGTGAGACTGATTTACTTAGTTGATTTGTTTAAAAGAATACATATACCTTATAGTGCCTGTGATTTGAAACAATTCGTAGATATATATACAGAGACGACCAAATAGACATACGTCGCTTGGCCGATTTATCTCGTTAAGCTGAGTAAAATAAATACCTAAAATGCCTTGTTGACGAACGTCATATACCCTTTTCATACTATGCTTGCGAAGAGTGCAACAAGATCTGATGAATATTGTGGTTATAGAAGTTTTTTTCAGAAAAAATGCCTTTATATATGTTCTTAAATAATTCTTCTTCTTAAGTTGAATAAAATAACATATATACCTCATAGTAACTGTGATGTCTATTCAACAAACATCATACACTATGCTCTTTCATGCTATGATTGCGAAGTGTAGAATAACAGACTTGGAGACGTATCTGTTGAGTATTGTGTTTATGAAATTTTTGTTAGAAATAAATGATTAAAAATATTTGTTTATGATAAATTTAAAGTAACAAAATATTATTAATGCATCTTTTATGCTATGCAATGTAAGATACCGAAGAATTTTTTAATATGTAAGTTAATTCAATTCTTCAAAAAATCTCTTGCACACATTTTATTTTATTTTTACACATTTTTGTTCCACTGTGCAACATTCTCTTTAGGAATGTCAGCCGCATTGGAATGCTTTGTTACCAATTTTAATTTGAACAAGCAACATTTAACGCTTGTTTTTTTATCATTTACATGCATAAAGCATACACTAACAACAACAACGACAGCAAAAACATCAACAACGACAGTAAGAACAACACTAATAATATCAGTAAAGTAACAACAACAGTAACTGCGACAGTAGCAACAAAAACAAAAGCAACGACAACAGCAACAGCAACAACAAAAGCTAAAGACCCGAAAGCCGCAAATATTGGCATGCATTCAAACACAAATTCAGAAGACTACACACACCTAGGCTTGGAGAACACGAGTTCAGTGGATAGTTGACGGTAAACGGTTTGTAGCTGTTGTCATCATTATCATCCTCCGCCTAGGCCAGCGGATAGACGGACACCAGATACAAACAGACAAATGAACATGTGTCGGGTGAAGAAGCGTGGGCATTTGTCCATGGAGTCGTATGTTTTATTAAAGGAACTCGTAGGCGCAACTTGGATTAGTGCCCAGTGGCGATTTTGGCGAAGTTGAAATTCCATTGTCAATGCGCTATGTCGAATGTTGTTTGTTATTTGCTACTCTCATCACATGCATCCAAATCTCTTGTTATGCAATGCAGAAGCTCAAATATTTTTCCAAAAAATCAGAAACGAACTAAAAAGAAGGAAATTGTGAGTTTCGGAGAAATTTTTCTAGGAACAAAAGTCGTTGTATTACAATAGTAAAAGCGATATCATAGCAGCACGTTTCACTTCAACAATTACAATAACAACAAAAACCAAAACCAGAACAGAACCAAAAGAATCGAAAGATACAAAAAGTGAATACGAAACTTATTTGTAAGCAGCACACATCATTCATGATCCGTTGTCCACGCCATGTGCCGTTCATTAAGTCAACTGCTAAATTAAAAACAATGTTTGTAGCATTTCTAATGGGCAAACGTTTTGTCCAAATCATGTCCAAATCATATGATGTGACATGCTGCACTGCTGTTTGGTTGTGCTATGCTGCGATGTTGCGATATGCGGTGCAGGAACACAAATAACGTGCTGACCGTCGTCATCTCTGACACCCTTTTAAGCTTTTACGCTTTCATTCAACTATGTTGCCACTACGTAACCAAGCCTCAGCAGCAGCAACTTACTAATTTAATCAACATAAAATACCAACAAAGTCAACATCACACCATACACCAATGTGTAAGTGAAGTCATCTTTGTGTTTCGTCACTATGAGTTGCCACATGGTGTAGCCAGACCCAGCATCATCAAAGCTCATGGCTCGTGCAGCAAAGACAGTGCAGCAAAAGCATCACAGCAGTGCATTGTGTGAAAATTTTCACTGGCAGCATAAAAACACATGAGCTCATCGGTGTTAAGCAGGTAAAACATAGTATCTATGGCATTCTGGATAAGTACAATATTTTGTGGTTTCCTGCTTAACTTAGTTATGCAGCACCTTTCATCTCACTTTATGGCTTTTGCTGTATGCGGCGTCGTTTCCCTTCTTAATACTGGAAAATTTTCTACTCTGCCAGTCAACATAGTCTAAGGCGATTGCGTACAATGGCGTATTGAACTATGCGGTTACGGGTATTACACCACACGTGACGCTTACAAGGAATTAAAACTAATGCATACAAATTTCCGTATACTTCCATATATTAAGAGCACTTACTCTTTCTCGTATTTGTTATTATACTTAAATTTAAACTGCAAGTTTTAAAAATGTTCAAAAATTTACTTTTCATTATAAATAATTTTTTCTTTTTTCTAAACTATTCATCCTTCCAACCAACCATCCACCCATCTGTTTGCCACTGGTTTACTTGCTATCCTTCATTTGCATTTTTGAGATTTAAAGCAAGTCACGTCTTCACTTTGCAAATCAGCAGCTTAAGCTGGAGCACAAAGCAGTAGTGCCAGCAAATATTAATATTAATTTTAATTTGCATTTCGTTGGAAATAAACTTGAGTGCTGCTCCACAGCTTTTTTAAATGCTCAAAATATTGCATAAGTTTCATCAAAAAACCCACTTCGTAGACGTTGTGGGCATACATAAAATATGAGCTTCGTCCTAAACTGAAGCAAAATAATGAAATTCGTCAATCTTAATGAGAAGCCGGCATAATCAGGTCTAAGGCGAGAAAATTCACAAACACTTTTTTAAGCTTTTTTTAATTGTAATTGACTTCGGACTGATATAGTTAACCTACAGAAAACGAACTTCTTCAGAATTATTAAATTAGTTTACAAGTTCATTTATGTATAAAGGGGCCGGATTTATTATTGTGAAACAGTTATAAATATATGAGTAATAAAGATTTATAGCCTGTTAGCCCATAAACGCAAATATTCACTACATTCAGTACAAGTAGACGCAAATGCAGACAATATAGTATAGAGATATACCGCTATTTGTCTTATCTATGGTCAAAAACTCTTAATCTCATGTAACACGTTTTTTGACAAAAATATAAATTATAGTAAAGATGTTCAAATAAAAGAACAAAAATCTTACATAGGAAATTAAAAATTAATAAAAGACAAGGAGGTCTAGTTCTAAAAATGTTAGATATTTACCGATATAAAACCACAGATTCTTCTCGAATTTGAGCGATTAATGCTATTCGCCATATCTAGAACAAAAATTGATTTGTTAAAACTATGACTATAAAAATTTATTCGACAATCATAAAATTATAGAGCTTAGTTTCGAAAAACTGACAGAAATTTAGAGAACTAAATATCGTTGATTAATTCTAGGTTTTCTTAGTTATGAATGTTTTATCTTGATTTTCTCTCCCATATACCATATCAAACCTGAACTGTTTTTTTCACGTTAGGGTGAGTGATGAATTTCAATACAAATCTGCACATTTTTGTGCTATGTTTTAATAAATCCTAGACGTGCATTTTTAAAAACCACTGACGAATTTTGGAAGCTTACAACTACAGAATTTTAAATGACATATTTTAATATTTATAAATAGATCATAAGCAATATGATTTAAAAATAATTTACAAATAATCGAAATATTTAAAAATACGAGTACAATATACACTGCGAAACAATGTACTACCCAATATACATAGACTATGTACCATATGAATCCATTCTATGTTAAAATGTGCTAACATTTATTTTATACACACAAACATAATAAATGAGATGTGAATAGCAAACGAATGTATGAACTTTGAGTCAGTAAATTAATGAATGTAT